AGATACTACACGTGAAATGGTGACCATTGGCGCAAACATGCCTTATCCGAAAGTTGATAGTTTCGGAAATACAGGGTGTTGAAAGTAAAAATTTTAAATCGTTTTTTTGCGATTATTCTGAAACTATGTAGGTTAGGAACTTGAAAATTTGTGAAACTATATTTTTTTAAGCGACGAATAAGATGCGTGTTGCAATTTCTGCGTTGGTCATAGAGGGCGCCACTTACGACCAATTTTACCGAAAATTTAGTTAATAACTTTTTACCCTGTATGTCTAACATGGAACGTGATTCGAAACCTGAAAGAGCCACCCAGAGGTCAGGACTTCATCCTCTTGATTTTTCTATTAGATCTGGAATGGAAAATATCGTTTACAAAGAATTTATTGGTTCGTATGAAGAGTTGTGGCAAATAATGCAAATCGTTGCCAACGAAGTCAGACGCAATTCCAATATGTTGTTTCAAAGTCGAAGAACTCTCAGGAAACGTTGTGTAAAGTGTATCAGTGTCAACGGTGCATTCTTCGAACAATTACTTTAAATCATTATTACGTAGGTATTTCATTTGTTTTATTGTTAATTGTTGTAATAACATGAAGAAACACTTTGTTTTGCTTTAAATTTCTCGTATTATCAAAACATAGTATTCGTTAAATCTATTTTTCTCGAAAACGGATCGAGATATCGAAATGAAACAAGAGTACATAATTAATGGGAAAATGATTGCTTGGTCGTAAGTGGCGCCCTCTATGAGCAACGCTGGAATCGCAACACGCATCTTATTCGCCGCTTAAAAAATTTAGTTTCACAAATTTTCAAGTTCCTAACCTATATATTTTCAGAGTAATCGCAAAAAAACGATTTAAAATTTTAACTTTCAACACCCTGTATTTCCGCAACTATGAACTTTCGGATGTAGTATCTTCAGCTTTCGATTTTGACATTGTTAATGAATCACCCTGTATATATCAAGTGACAGACTTTTCTGCAAATGGAAAGGTACAGCAATTGAAATAATAAAAATATCTAACCCCTTCAATGAGATAAAAGTTTTGCCTTGCTAAAGGTTGTCACTTCACTTGTTATTTTACTAAATAATGCATAGCCCAAGTGACTTGGACGTTTCTGCAAATGGAAGACTATTTTACAGTTTACTAATCTGCGTTTATCTCAAGTTACAAATGAATTAAATAAATATAATTTTACTTCTAACCCTTTCAACAAGATTATTAAAAAATACTCGTACCTCTCTTTGTCGCGAACCTGAGTACAATATAGGCGCGACAATTATCTCATCGCCAATAGAAAATTCATCGGTTACTACATGACACTGCGGATCTTCGGAATCCAACATCCACAAAGGACGTATTATGGGAAGACCCAGATTCAGAGACACTCTGGCGAATTTCTTTAATTTTGGTGTCACCTAAAATTTGTTACAAAACAAAGATCACATTTTATAGAAAATAAAAGATTATTTTTTGATTCCCACGTAGGCAGTTTAGACCTGTTGTCTTGTTGACGTTTCGAGAGACATATCATCATCAGAGGAAACTCCGAAACTGAAGATAAAGTCCTTCATTCGGTAATTATATTTGCAGTGTGTACTGATTCCTGACATTATAGTGAACAGTTTGAAGTTACGCCTGTGACGTATTAGTCTTTGATTTTTATGTGTACAGAACAGATTCCTGGCACTCAATTGATTTGAATAATACCTTAATTCTACAATGAGATAAACAATTTTGACCAAGACTGCAGAAAAACAACACACCCAGAAAAACTGAAATAATTTGGATGGACCACTGCGCACACTAAATATAAATATGTACTAACCAGAGCACTTAATCGTCAAAGTTTCTTTTAAAGGATAGAGAGATACGTATTTCCAAACGGCAAGAAGACTTTTGACAGAATATCATCCTGCTATAATACTACCTTATTTTGTCTGGTTATCGCTAAGCTTTTCGCCATATCCGATATATTCTGTTCCCCATAAGTACTTGGTAAATGATGATATCTAACCACAGGTAGAAATGCTGCCATCTGTAACCATCTTATGTATAATTCCTGATCCGGCAGAACTTTTGTCGTCCCGTTGTTCAAAAACACCGCATCAAGCGGATCATAGTCTCCTCCCACCGCACCAGGTATTAAAAAGGGATAACCTAATATTCCGTATGTCAGTATTGTGGGTATGACTCTTCTCAAACCCTCCCAAGATGATTCGAACTGAGGCAGTACCACGAAGACCGGAGGCTTGGGCCGTTCTATAGCGCTACTGACGCCGAAGATAGGAACGGAACCCTGGATGCTGTTTATGAATAGAGTCTTGTAACTGTCTGGATTAACTAAGGGTTTTTCGCATTCGTAATAATACGGCATAGTGTAAGCGGTACCCATATCTAAATAGTATGCGTCGAATTTATATTTATCCATGACTTTTTTGAGCTTTTCCACAAGCCAAGGAATGGATCTGTTGTTGGTTATATCTAGCACAGCACCGCTTTGTAGTGTTTTGTATCTGGTCAAAGCAGGTATGCGTCTGTTGGTAAAGCGTTCGGATATTACCAGTTCTTTTTTCACGGCTTCTGCGAAATTGAAGCTCTCAGTTGATATGAACGGTTGTATGGTAAAAACTACTCGAAATCCTCTTCTCTTTAACATTTCCATCGTCTTCTCTAATGTTGGAAAACGATTCGTGTCCAATTCGAAATCGCCGATATGATTCTGCCAGAATTCATTTATCAGGACATGACCTTGCTTCAAAACTCCTACGGAGTTTGTTATGTCATCAGTAAAATTGTAGATGGTTTCTGTAATGAATGAAAAAATAGTTATTTACACCATAAAGGAGGTAAGTATTATTTATTTAGGACTTGCGCTATTTACCTTCAGTTAATTTTTCTTTATCTGATGTTATTTCCCAGACAGGTTCCGTCAGTAAAGAGTCTATAATATTTCCATCCTCCTTCTTTAAACCATCCCATAGGGAATGTTCACTTAGGTGGCTGTGTAGTTTCGACATGTTAGAGCCAGTACAGATGCTATAATTTAACTGTACCATGTCACTTCTTCTGTTTACGAAAGCGAAATCGTCATTTTGCGCTTTAAAGCAAAGCTCCTTTTTGGGGGAATTCCTTATTGATACATACAGTGGCGTCTCGTCGTCGACTATTAAAGCTGCCCCTACATAAATGAAATTAATTAATGGGTATAGTTTAATAGTGAATGCATGTAAAATACAAAGTTTAAAGAAGAATAATTTTATTTTCAATGAGGCTACCTAAAAAAATAATCTTCAAAAGCTAGACATATAAGTCCTTTGTTCTTAGAGATGTTCAAAATAGTTTCCCATCAAGTATAATTATGCCTAACTGTTGGAAATGATTTCTAATGCACTATTGACAAAGCTATTATGACTGAATTTCGTCTCCGAAATAATATTTATTCTATTTAATGACGTGCTCTTTTAATTAGCATTATTTCGACAAATTATTTTCTTATCACAGATTATTGATTTACGGAATTACATCTATAGAAGAATGTCTAGACATTTAGTATCAAAGAGAAATAAAACTTCATCTGACGAGAATTTTACAAAATTTTAAAATTATATGAATCACTTAAAGCTAATACAAAGTAATTGTAAAAGTGTGTCAATCAAATATTTTTGTGGGTTAATTTGTATTAGCTTACTACTAAAGTAAAGTACAGAAGCTGATTAACATATATGTATAACCTTTAATATGAACTGACTTCATATCTGTAAAAATATACAAGGTGTTCCAAATAAAAATATACAAGCTTTATTTAAAACCGAAAAACGAATTAACTAAAATCTTTTTCTTAAACTTTGTTGAGGGCTACTCAAAAACTACCCTTGGCTTATTTCGATTTGACACTACGTAATTGACATACAGGTGTTTAGTACAAGTTATTTTTTGAGAAAAGCGTAGTATCCCTGATACGGAAATATATATGTAGTAGGCCATGAATATACTATAATTGAGATCATCAGTTTGCTGTCAGTTTGCCTAGCCTCAGTATAAAGATGACGAGCTTCAACTCCATTACCATTAGCATGTCCACACATAGAATGCATGTCTGCCATTTCTGGACTGGTGTAGAACGGCATTATTTATTTATTATTAAATAACTTTCAAACACAATAACCAATAGAAGTCAAAGTCGAATTTCGAATATTTAAACATGCCTACAAGTATTTAAAATATTATAATATTTTTCCCGACAAAGGAACGGGCGCAAATCCGGTATTTTACATAAAAATGTTTTTTTGCAAAAACTACTCAACTTAGGTATAGGGAAAGCTATTAAAAAATTGTAGGGTCTACAGAAAGGCATCTAATGAAATCATAAAACACAGGGTGTTCTATTTGAAAAAGTCGAGATTTTTCAAATTTTAAATTATCAGGTTTGGCACGACTTTTTTTGGCCCCTGTATATCGCAGGTCAAATTTTGATACTTTTTATTGAAAGAGCCATCTTCACTCTACAGTTCCTGAATAAAAATAATTTCTAACTGTCATACAATCATAATTATGTCAACTACTAGAAGTGACGAAAGATAAGAAAAAAAAATGAAAAGTCGATTATCTCGAAAACTATCAATATTTTAATAGGGATCATAACACAAAGTCTCGTTAATTTTTCACGTGGAATTCGATAATGCCATAAAAATATAGGTTTCCATTAAAAAAAATTAAGTACTTGCCCAGGAAAAACTGAACACCCTGTATATGCAAATATATTTTCATTTTGTGCACCTCGGGAAAGTAGGCAACTCTGTAGAAAAAAAAATAAGTTATATCTTTTATTAACCTAGGTATTGGACTTACGCGCACTAGGTGGACACGGTGTATATTATTGTTAATATGATTTAATAATTAGCAATCAATTAAACTGTGTTTGTCATCTGTCTTGTTCTTTTGTTTTTTTCTGTTTGTAATAGCATTATTACACCCTGCATTTAATAATTACCTTTGGAACTGATGAAATATCTTTTCAATACATTCCCCCATTCATTTTGTTCCACTTTGCCCGTTATAAACGGCTGGAAATTGTGTCCGCCCTTTTCTAGGGGCCAAGCAAATTCCGCTGTTTGACCTCCACCGTACCAGTGACTATTCGCCATATCAAAACAGTCAGTAGGGGACACATCAGGCGACAGTGATATCCATTTTAGATTATAGCATTTTACTTGTCCTTCAAGTTCATAGTAATCAAGGTACAATCTCGCTCTAAAATAAAGATTATATAAACAGGGATACTGTAAAACACCTTTTATTTTAAAAGTACGTTCAGACATGCAACAAAACATCGTAACGTAACTCCGTTGTGTAACAATCTGCTATACGCGACGATGTTACGAATCATCGACTCGTATCACTGCTGTGTCGTAGAGGGTTCCATGTTTGCAATCAAACTGTACTGACGGAAAGCTGTAATGGTACATGACACCTCACGGAAATGACAGGCGTGAGATAGCAGTGCAACATTTTTTTGTCGCGTTACTACAATCCGATGGAATGGGGTGATGTGTTGTTATGCTGTTACGGAGTTTCGTTACGATGTTTTGTTGCATGGCTGGACGCACTTTCAGCCAGTACATATTGAAATTATCTATTTGAAGATTACATAATATATTTTATCTGCAATAAAGAGCTGCAGGATAATGTGGAATATTTGGAAAGTTGAATAAAATACAAGAAAAATGGAAAATGGCTACTTAATTGAAAATTACTTTGTTTTCCAGATTATAATCCGTGTTCAGTAACAGTACATTGTGATGATTGTTAAAAATGTCATGTTTTTAATCAACTTATTATAAAACTAATTAGTATAATTAAAATACTCACCTGTGCATCCACTCTAAGCATATGCTACCGTCATGTCTTTTATTAGTCGGTAGACACGGAAGAACTTTCTCATATCTTATAGTAGTACCTAATTTTGCAAAAAGTAATTCATTGCCTAAATTATTATATATTCGCATGTGTCTTTTGAGTTTGTTGAATTTAATTTTTTCGAAGTAAGCCTTGGCTAATATTTTTTGCGAGTACAAAAAATAAGCCGTCACTATAAGAACTATTATGGCGATAAGTAGGAGGACAACAAATATTTTGGTTTTATATTCCGTACTCTTCTTTTTTCGAAGTGACTGCGGTAAACTCTAAAAAAATTAAATTCGTTAGTTATACAGTGTGAGAGAAAAAGTTTGCAACATGTGAGACTTTTTTTTATTAAAGTTTACATTAAATTTACATTACTATCTTATCTTGAATTTTTAGATTAGGTAAAAATAAATTGTGCTTTATTTAATTTCCGTTAGTCTATTTTTAGAAAATATTAATGCAAGTAGTAAACAGATTTTGTTGTACTAAACTTAATCATTTTTCGAATACGTGTTCCAAAAGTCTGATATGTATCAAACTTTTGTAATATAGCCAATTTAATGTCATATCTACGTGGTATGTCGGTAAATTCATCCGAAACGGTTTATTGTTTATTTAAAAATATACAGGGTGTCCCAGAATATGTGGACAATCATATTAAAAAATAATTAAATTACACAAAGTATTTTAAAAGTTATTAAGAAAAATCGATTTTCAGGGGCATCTTTTAGGGGTCTGTATCTCCGCAGGGGGGCCCATCCAGGGAAAATTTTTATAGGAACTTGTCAGGTTGTTTTAACATCCCCTGTATAAATCGGAGAGATTGCCAACATATACTGGGACACCCTGTATATATCAGTACCTGAATTTTTTCCCTTAACAAACTAGCCAAGGAATTTATAGAGGTGACAGAGTTGGCTGGGGAGGTACTTCCGGATTCCTCATCACCCGGTATCGTAAGCATTTTAGGACTAAGCACTGATTTTCTTCGTACATTACGTGGGTTTTCTCTAAAATAAAACCGGGGATAAATATACGTCTCCAAACAAAATGTCACTGCCTGTCAAATATACACACAAAATATTAAATATACGATAATACTGCAAATAATTTAAAGAAACTCGTACACAGTGTTTTTTTTTAATGACATACTCCTGTCATAACTGTTATGTAGGCTGTTTGATATGTCAAATTTGACATCTAGGGGTAAAAGGACTTCTAATAGCACCAATTTTATGTTGTGTTTATGTTGTCCAATGAAATAGAAAACTAATTGTATATTTTTACTTAATGGGGTACAAATATTGATAAGCAATTTAAATTTACCGCCTAATGAATTTCTGTATGTCAACGAGAGATGGCTGTTCTATATTATGTGGTTTCTAGGAATATGAGTATAATAAAAATGAATGAGCCATTAGCATAATATTGTTCAAAATTTTACGTATTTTGCATATGACAGACATGACACTATTTTGAGTATATCTCCCATACTAATACAAACAAATCCATATATATATATATATATATATAACGACTTCTTTGTTTCACATCTAACTTGTTTTTGTCATGAATACGTTATACGAAAAACATAGATGTTTCATAATAATAATTATTTGTGTATATTTAGCCTTCATTGTCTTACCCTCAGGGGCGTGTATTTTCCTAATATAAAATTGTTACAATTATTATTATAGATGATTGCTCATTATTTATTACATGTTAAAATATGTATATTGTCGTGACCGCCCGGATATTGCAATAACGACTTCTTTATTTCACATTTAACTTGTTTTACCATGATTAAGTAGTTCTTTGATTTCTTGTGCTCACTTTATGTCATACGTCTATACGAGCCTTGTTGAGTTTACTAACATTTTCGCCCGTGCGGAACGAATCTGGATTAAGCTCGATTGCCTCCCGTATGGGACTCCAGTGTTATGAAGGATCTTCCGAAATCTCAACTATAGCTGGATTGCCTCCCGTATGGGACTCCAGTACCTTCCGGCT